ATATGATCTATACATATATATATGATATATATATATATAATATATATATAATATATATATGTATATAATATTTATATAATACATATATATATATATATATATATATATATATATATATATATATATATATATATATATATATATATACACACACACACAATTATATATGTATGTATATATACATATATGTATGCATATATATATCATCATCATGAAGTAGCTAACACTGACAGGGACGCATGACTGCATCCACCCTTGACTCCCAGCCATGGGGGTTCCTCAAAGCGAGTCTCCGTGCAGGCCCTCGACCCATCTCTAATTCCTCACAACAGGATTGATCGAGCTGCTGAAGCCAAACCTCATCCTAGGTCATCCTACAGCCCTCCTACACACAGGATTGTCTCGCAAAGAGACAAACATATACATGTATATGTATGTGTACATATATATAAATATATGTATGTGTATATATATGTATGTATACATATACCCATGCATACATACATATATAAGTATACATGTCATATATGTATACATTTATATACATACATACATGCATATACATGTACACACATACACGTGTGTACATGCACACACACACACACACACACACACACACACACACACACACACACACACACACACACACACACACACACACACACACACTCTTACGTATATATTATATATATACACACACACATATATATACAAATATATGCGAAGACTTCAAAAAGTTCGTGGAAAAAGGACAGTATGAAAAAACGGTTTCACAATTATGATGTTTATTATTCAGCATATGCTCCATTAAGGTCAATACACTTCTGCAAACGTTGATACCAGCTTTTAAGTCCATCTGAGTAAAACTGAGGTTCATCCGATCTGAACCATGTCAGAGCAGCTCTTTTAAAAACTTGGTACCTTTCAATGATTTTTTAAAGTTTGGAAACAAAAAGAAAGATGGAGCTAAATTGAGGCTGTAATGGGGATGTCAGACAATTTCTATTCGAAATTCACATAGCACAGCTTTTGTCTGACTAGCACTGTGAGCAGTGCATTGTCGTGGTGGAAGAGAATGCATTGGTGTAGTTTTCCAGGGAGTTTTTCTGAGATTTTTTTGACAGTTTTCTCAAAAGGTATTCATAAGTAGATGTAATTGTTTTATTGCTCTCAAGGAAATCAACCAGCAATATCCTCTCTGTATCCCACACACATACACATGACCTTTCCTCTTAAACACTCAGATGAGTCATGTTTCATCCCCTGTCATAGTTCTCTGCAGAAAAGCTTAAGAGTTCGCATCCCACTTCTTCAAATTTTTCATTGAAAGATCTACCATTGTTTGCCGCTAATCTGGGCACAACAGCTTATGGACCCACTGAGCGGAAAGCTTGCTTAGCCCCAAACTCTCCACCAGAACCCAAAGAGAGTGTCTGCTATTGATTCAGTGGTTATTCATCTATCCTCTTCAATCATGTCATAAACAACATCAATGTTTTCCTCACAAACTGACATTAATGGCCTGCCACTGTGGGGCTCATCTTCAATTTCATTTCTTGCACTTCTGAACCGACTTATTCATT